TTGAAGCGAGGAAGGAATGAAAGTAACGAAAAACAAAACAACAACAAAAAAAAACTTTTTCGATTACTTCAAGAAAGAGTCAACGACCGGCAATTCCATGTCGATATATGTCCCGTTGGCGATTTACACACTTACACGCATACACCTTAGAGTTTGTTTTCTTACAAAAACTTTTTCGCATCGTTCAAGTTTGTGCTGTGTTTCAGCCTTCATTAGTGAAATGTGCACACTTCATGCAAACAAAAGACCACAGAAATTTGAACTTTGTCACTTTCATTCGATATTATTGTTGCTAGTATGAAAATACCGGCCTGAGATATCGGCTGGTCAGTCACTATAAAAATCACTTCTATTGTTTATAATGTTGGTATAGTGAGTGACCAGCTGCTATCTCTACTATTTTCAGCAGGCACTACCTCAGCCAGCAAAATCATAATTGCTACCAGCATCCGATCAAAAGAAACTATATAATTGTTTTTTTTTTTACCAAAGTGCAAAGTTACGGTGACCGGTCATATTTTCCCCGGTTACAATTTCGCCCATACAAATCAAATGGAGAATTTATGTCCGAAATATCAAAGAAAATAATTCCCTATAAAATTTGGCCATATTTTCCCCAAGAAAAATATTTTATGTTCGGGAAATTATGGCCAAAAATCCAGGGAAACTATTTCCAGTTCGATTTGGACATAATTTCCCGGGGAAAATATTACCAAACTGGTGGGGTTTAATTTTATATCCAAAACTTAATGGCTACAATTTCCCCATACATTTTTCTGAAAATTTAAGAAATTGTGGCCAAAATTCGAAAAAAAAAATCACAATTTATTTGTGTATGTAATTTATTTGAACATAATATTTTTATTTGAATCAACGTAAAATTTTTCCACGTGCATATGGCTTTTTATGATTTGTTGGCATAATGGACATTTAAATTTTGGCTCGATATCCCGTCGGCCCAACTCGAATTCAACCAGTTTATCATTAAAATATTCTTGCTCCATTTCAAAGCACTTTAAACAATATTTGAAATGCCCGACCGAAAGGAGCACATCGCTTGTTGCTTCAAGACAAATTACACAGGTCTTGCCTGAGATTACAAAGCTTCAAAGAAATACAAGTACATGTATGTACCGTGTATACGTTTCATGCTTTGCGTCTTATTCTTCATTCCCCATTTTCATCTGTTTGCTATGTAGCGTAGCAGCTTATTCCAACATGTATGCAAACAAATAAGTAGGTGAAAAGTTCCTTTTTTTTTATAAAAATCCTTAGTCAGTTAGCATTTTTAACATATTTGGAATTTACAGTGATAAAATTAATCTAGCTATCTTATTATCTTTTGCATATTGTAGTTAGACCATAGGTGATGTCGAGGGTTCCTAAGGTTCGGATAACCCCCCTCTAAAATATTTTTAGGAACCCTGAACAATTTTGAAATTGATGACCTTTTTTTGCTCTTCACTTCGGGAAAAATTCTTCTGTTTTGCTAGTGATTTTCGCCAAAAGAGTGAATAGCAAAAAAAAAAAAAACGAAAAAAGGGACAGATTTGGATAGAAGGTGAGATAGAATCGTGAAAACCGTCATCATCTATTTATTTGGACATCACTTTCATTTTTGTTTTGTTTCATAAATAATCTCCATACCGAAGATCTAATGCTTACGTTTTTATCTGTATAGAAGCTATAACAGCTATGCTAGTGAATAGTTGAAAAGAATCGATCAAATGCAACTCTGAATATTTATTACTGTGTCTGTAATACATTTAGAGAAACCGCAATTTTCATGACATTCGGTCAACATCCCCCAACCGAAAGCACATCAGAACCAGTTTCGAAACCTCTTAAATTTATGCATGACAATTTACGGTTACTGTATTCAATGTCTTGGTCACATTTGACCACAAATCATTTGTGTCTATTTACCATCGAAATAGTTCGATTCCAAGATAAATGAGTTGTAATTTATAAGTCATCGTCTATCCGAAACATTAAGTGACCCCTTTACACGCACATGCATATAAATGGCACGTGGATCTACAGAAAAACGACAAAAATGTTATCCATTCGAGCCGAAAAAAAAGTTGCCAGAAAGAAAAATTAGATTATTGAGGTAGATTCTATAGAAGAAGAAAAAACTTCAAAATATTCTAACAAAATGGAAAAAATATGCGGTACAGGAAAAAAAAACTTTTCGCCTTGTTTTGTATCAATTTTTCGGATTTTTTTGAATAATTTTTTCGTTACATTTTTCGCATTACAAAAGATGAAAATAGAATGTTGCTTTCCGTTTGATCTGGTGAACTGTGTCATAAGCAGAACAATATGATCAGTGGCCGCTAGATATTTTATGAATTATAATTTTCTCATTCCTTCGTGAGATTCAATGTTGCGAACCAGAAATTGTGAGGGTGAGTTTGAGTACCACTGTCAAAAACTTTTACAACCAATTAACATTCAATTTATTTTTTGTTGTTTAAAACGTTTATTTATTTCCTATTTGGATGCGAACATTTTTTTTAAATAACGGTAAAATTAGTTCGAAACAATTGTGAAAACTGATGAAAATTCGCACTATTGCGTTCAAATGCAATAACCAGCACGAAACAAACAAGAGACAACATCGCAATGACCATAACATTTGTAAAACAGATGAATTATTTGTTATGTATAAAAGGTTGATTTCATCACGCTCTTTCCATATGCATTAATGCAGTATCCTCTCGCTTTCTCTTTTCATTTCTATTTTCTTGTTAACCGATGCACCGGATTTGCAAAAATTATCAAACGATTAATTTTAATGACCAAAAATAATAACATTTAAATTATACAGCGCATGGACGCTATTCAGATTAAATGCAGAAGATTCAATTTTAATGGTCTTTCTGCACAGCTTTTATGTAGCAAAATTATTAATTTCAATACCATTATGACACAAATGCAGACATATAGAAAGAGATAGGAGAGAGAGCACATTTAACATGGTGAGATGCGATAATACGTGGTTGAATGTGATTAAATGGGAATCATTATTTAATTTTGTCACTGCACACTGACTCGCGGCATTTTCAATAGACATTTCCCTTTTTTTATTTAAATTATCGTGCCATGTATACCGTAGAATTTGACATTTCAAATGGATTTCATTCAACACACCAAACTAAAAGGTAAAACAAATCGAATAACTGACAAATCGATGCATTTTTCGATAGTAATCGAAACATTTAATAGTGAAACGATTGAAATTTTGAGTATCGCGGATTTTAATGAATAAAAATCAAGTTGAAACAATTAAAATGAAAATAACGAAACAATTTAACATCGGATATGCTATTTTTTGCAATGGCATTCAATCATTTGGCAAATTTGGTCATAAACTCGATGAAATATGTTAAAAATTATTGCATTTTTGTCAGGAAAATTGCATCGCGCATTTCATTTGTAAATCGAAAAGTAGTATAAATTTAAAACCGGTTTTGCAATAAACGGCAAATCACACTACTCATCCCAATCATTCGTAAAATCCAGTTTTCCAAGCACACATGCGTGTGTCAAAAAATCAAACGCACATATATGAAAAGAAAAAAAGCAACCACTGAAAAAAAAAAAAAAAAAAAAAACAAACAAAAAGCTACATATGTTCCACTTAAAAAAACACAACAAACGAAAAGCTTCACATGTTTTTTTATATAATAGTTTTTAGTAAACTTTTCAAAAACGTTGTGATGTGTGCTTGGAAAACTGGATTTTACGAATGAGTGGGATGAGTAGTGTGATTTTTGCAATAAACGGCATATTTATACTACTTCAAAATCTCAAAGAAATGTTTGAATCGAAATGATTAATTTTTTTAAATATTAAAGCAATTTGCTTTTTAAATCAGTGTTTCCCGGCGTTAGCTTTCACTGAAGTAAAATATTGGACTTAATGCGACCAAATTATTTTGAAAATCTCTGGTGCCATTATGACATTTTTGGAATTTTCGTTTTATATTTGATATTTGTGTTATGATGAATGGCAAAACTAAGCTATATTAAGTGTAGTGCGGTAAGTTAATGCTTTTATCCCATTTTAAGATGTGTCATTTATTTCTATGTGACTTTTATAAGTTTTTGAGAGATGTTGATACGGCAAATGCAATATCAAAAAATGAAAATGCCCCAAAAAGAACCCTCGGAAATGTAATGTGCTTTTAATAATGTGTGAAACACGTTTCAAAAAGTAGCAAAGAAAAAAATGCTGAGCTGGATCGATGTGTCATATAGAGTAAGAGATGTTACCGTTACTTCCTTCCTCTGGATACAATCTACGAAATGTTGCGAAACAAGAACGAGTCCATTTCAAACAGAGAGAAAAAAAAACATTGAATAAAGGAAGCATCTCTGCATCGTACAGAAGAAGAAGTGAAGAATGTTCTCCGAGCTGAATATTAAAATCGATGCAACATTAAAGTTAAGCACTAAATCATAATGTGAAATATATATTCGAATATATGTAAATGTGCACGTGTGTCAAAAAGGTGAATGTTATAACTAGTTAAGTATGCCCATTGAAATGATAGAGGAAAAAATTGGAATGCTCGAGTGAAAATAATCGAGGCGAAAATACAATAACAGCATATTCGAAATGCGAGCTTGAGTTTTTATGTGTGCCAGCACATGCGTTTTTTCACTGCATTTTTAGCAAATTAAGCACTTTTTCTTTCATTTGGACGTTGAGTGTGGGCACCTTTTCCCTCCAGCTTTTTAGCCTATTTATATATTATACATTTGGTATGGTATTCCGCGCGCACATGCTCTCCACTTTTTCTCATTTTTGGTGTGACAAAATGAAAAACAATATTTGTCACATGCGATATGTATCAAGTGTTACGGTTACATGTGTTGCATTCTTTTCCATTCGAAATCAAGCATTTATGTTGGATTTTTCCGAGCTCCTTCATGCTGCTACGGATGCTAAAAATAGAAAGAAAAATGAACGATAAAAAAATTATAACTTACCTTCGTTCATAACTTCTCAGTCTCACTCGTTCTATACGCATCCGAGAGGTTTTCAGTTAATTTTCGGTTGGTCGGTGGCTGCAAAATCATTTTTTTTCCTTTTTATTTGTATTATCAACTGTAATGTTTACAGCAGTGCAAACTCCATTATGCCACACACAAAATGGACCATTTTATCAGCACAATAAAATCTCTATTCATAATTAAAAACAGCAAAAACTGAAGCTCCGAACCATTTTCCCCTCCGGAAAAACAAATGTTCTATCAAATAATGGATAATTTTCATACTTCCACAGCCCATAGAAATGTGATTGTTTTTAATTTTGAATTTCCATTTCAGTTTTTTGCGGCTTCATTCACTTGCCCCAACGGGTCATTTCGAATGATGCGTTTGGGAAAAAAACAACCATTATAAATACAAAAAAAAAATCATATATATTCATCTATATTCTATATAAAAGCAGAGAGAGAGAGAGAGAGAGAGAGAGAGATAGAGGGAGAAGAAAATCGATTCAAAATCAGTACTTTCCTTCGTTATTGTTTCATCAACTAGAAAAATGCATTGCAATAAAACTATCTCATTTTTCGAATTTAGTGAAGTAAAAATGCCAGCAGTTTTATTTGCCTTACAAACATTTTGGAGACTATGCACATTATTCAATAACATGTTCGTTCGAATTCAGTCTTTTCAGACATCCAATTATTATTGATAAAATCAATGGAATATGCTTTTCGATTGCACATCGCAAAACTTTGTTTGATTTTCAACGAACTTTGAGTTGAAAGGATCACATACATTAACTCAACGGATTTTTGCCATCCAATTCAATTGAATTCGAGAAAATGATGTAATCTTCGTTCGACATCGAGCTGAAACGAAAAATCTTTGTCCAATCGTTTTTCATAATTATCAGTACTATTCAATTCGATTCGATTCGACAAGTGAATGTTAGTTTTAAATGAGCAACTTGTTTGAATCAATTCGTTTTATTTGAACACTGTATATTTCTATTTCTTTGATTTTATTACTCTTGGGAAAAGTTGCACAAACTACTATTTTCATGCGAATTACAGTTAAAATGAATAATAAAAATAAAAGTTCAAAATAATAAATGTAAAATCGAACAATTGAGCTGCATAAAAGCCAACTAATATTGAAACGAGCCAAAAAAAAACATATTTGAATATTGATTGTAATCAGTGGAACAATTTTTGATTGAATCAACAAAGAGAGACCGAGAAAATTTATTGAGTGAACTGTGTAAATTATATAATTTTATTTTTATATTTTCAGCAAAAAAAAGTTTTGATTGTTTGACAAATATCTGTGAGTGAATTTTACAATATGCATCAATGAATTTTTGCAAAGACTAAACAAATATTTTATTCGAATTTAAAATATAGTTATGTTCAAACGGAAATTGAGTTCATTTCATTATTTTCACAGTTGTCAAATGCAACGCGAGATGTTTTGTTTTTCTCTCACCTTCTCTCCACCCTCATCTGTCGCAATTGATCGACAAAAGTAAAATATTTGGCCACGAATCGGGTCAAACTATTTTATGAATTTCATCGAATATTGTGTATTGAACATGAAGTTGAATTATTCGATTATTTTCAAAATGTATGGTGTTCATGGTTTGAGGTTTTGTCCGACAACAAATAAATGTACGACTCGGGTCATAATGTATTTTTTTTTGTTGTTGTTGCTGTTGTTGGTGATTGAAGTCAATGTGTTGAAAATGGGTCAATTGAAAATGAGGCCCGCATTTATACAATTTTTAGCAATTGATATCATGGATGACACAATGAGGAAAAGATCAATTAATCAGATTGATGAGGTTGAATGCATAATTCGAAATTCACTTGGCCACCATTGTTGTGTTTGTGTTGTGATGACTTTTTAGCCATATCACATTTATGATAAATCAAAACCCATCAAAAACCGTTTAAAATACCTCGTTTTTCAATTCCATTCCGTTGTTCAGCAGCAGCACATAATTTCACGCAGCACTGACAGAGTGTGTCTCTCTGGTAGCACACATTGTGGTTCCACGATAAATTGATAAACATCACTGACAAATATTGTACAGTGAATAGCACATAACCCCATTTCATGGCATTTTACAATGTGTCACATGCAAATTTTTCAGACGACAACATTACACGAATACCATTTAATCGAGAGCCTCGATTGGAAACAACACTATTTTCAATTGCATGAACCATCTGCTTGACTATAATAATGGAAATCATAATATATGATCAAAAATCAGGTGAATGACGCCAATTGACTTAGAACCGATACCAAAAAACAGCTAATTGCTGTTTATGTCATCGGTTTTATTTCAATCATGCATTTTCAAACGTTCATTTTTGAATCATTTCAATGGATTGAAATTTATGGATATTGTTGGAGCATTGTTTTAACAGTGGGATATTTTTAAAAATTAAATTAATTTTTGTTTTGGATAAGGTCTAAGAGCCGGATCTAAGCGTGCGTTTATATGCAACTTTCGAAAATATTAAGGGTGAAATCTCAATGTTGTATCTCCCAACGTGTACATTGGTCGATACATTTGGATCTCGGATAAAGCAACCAAAATGTTACAGAGGTAGTTTCAGTTTATGAAAGGTTGCGTTTTTTGAAATAGATTTTAAAATCGTAAAAAATCAGTAATCATTTGGTGACTGTGAGCAATTTTGCGCCTGTTTTTTATGTAGTGTCTTTCTTTATGCTTTCTCAAGAATATTTTACCGAAAAATGGAAACACAAAATAGCTATAATGCACAGATTTCAGCTCAATATGCACAGCTACTGTGTTTATTGTACGACTGTATTATTATTTCAAGCAAAAATCTTTCAAATATTCTCATCATTTAAAATCATTGAATCTGAACTCATTCAAATGATTTAAGTGAATCTAATATGTGTCAATACGAACGTTGTGCATTTTATTATTATTTGCTTTGAAAATATTAATAAATGGGCCAATGGTAAAAGTTGATTGGATGGCAGTGCCATAAGTCATCAGAGATTCAGTATTACAATTTTATATTGTATAAAATAATGTTCGATAAATGTTCTTGTGGATTGAAAATCCGAGCGATGTGTATTTCGTGTTTATATGTATAATAACAAAAAAATGGCAAGCGATAACAACAAATGGCACTGCCATCCAATGGTCAACTGCAACAAATTAGTATATTATGAGTCCCACAAATGATTAGATCCAAATGAATGGGATAAATCGCATCAAAAAGACCAGAAATCGAAAGAGCGTCTTATTGTGCTGGTACAATTTACACATAGTAAATCCAGCAGCCTGTCCTTCTTATTGTTATCGTTAGATATTCGTTCGGTTTCCTTGCACAGATATTGCACATGTTTCGATTTTATATATGTATACAATGTGTATCGAATTTTGCATTTGGTGACCGAAAAATCGGAAAATGTTACTAGTCAAACGAAATGTGGTGCGAAAGCAGAAAGATGAACAAAGGATCCAAATAAATATACTTTGTGTGAGTGTGTGTATGTGTGTGTCTTCGATCGATGCACAGATTGTTGAACTACATTAGTTACATTAGTTGTATGCGGTTTGTCTTATGAACGTATATAAACCGAAGGGGGAAAACGAAATCCCATTTCGCTAAATTGGATATGGTAGTGGCTGGCGAAAGAAAAAGCGAAAAAGAATTCGATGTAACGAATCTCACAGAAAAAAAACTGATTTTCGAACAAAAACGTAAGTATCACATATTTTTTTCTCGTTCATTTGCTAAACTTTCGTACAACAAGGCAATCATGTGCGAGAATCGTATGAATAGACAACCAAATATAAATAAAAAAAACACTGACACCGACCGATAATCCAAATATGAATGCAACGCATTAGTCAAACTAGAGATTTGATTTGTGTTTCCTTTCGTTCACCGTGGCATTGTTTCCATTCGTTTTTATTTCCGACGTTGGATCGTTTCTGTTTTATTGATGTGATGGGTCGCGAAATGACAATAGGGGCAACTATAACCTTAATAGCACACATACACATATAGAAAACATGATTGCTGTACAATGGCATAGCAAATTCTTAGTTAACCATTGCATCCGATTTGGCCAGTGGCTTTTGTTGTCACTTTGATTTTGTCATTTTTTTTTTTTAATCTTAGTTTGTACTTAGTTTGTTTTTCTATTTCGATCGGATAGCATATGTCTTTCCCAAAAAAAAACACTCTTTCGTTCACCGATGTATTTGCGTGTTGGCTCTTGTCAATATGATCAACCATATTTCGATGGTAAAATGAAAGCTATTGTTGGCCGCTTGAGCTTCGGAACTTGATCCGATTTACGTTCATATGAAGCCATGGACATTATTAAAGTTTTACTCGAAATTAGTCTATCGGGAATCCAATAGATAAAGACGACGACGATGACGACGACTAAGACTAAGCAATGGAGAGAATATCGTCATACACACACATCACTCATCATGTGAAAATGATTTTGTCGAAGACGCTTAAACCAAATGTTTCATCAGACTTTTCCGACTGATCTGGGAATTACTTGGTATTAAACTGCACAACAACAATAACCTCACATATAGCAGACAATGCCTGAACATCACGTTCACACATACATATGTGTGCATGTATGTAATATTGATTGCATTTTCCAATAAGTTTTTCTTTTGTGTGTACTTACGCACGAAAATGATTTGCCAAATAAATACGTAGAAACATAAGGAGTGAGCTAAAGATATCCTCTGACCATACGTGTAATCATAAAACAAACAAATTAAGTTTATCTGTTTCATTTTGGCAAACGGAAAATGCCCCATTGAGACCAATCATACATACACTCCAAAAATTGATGCAATCAAAAAAAGCTTTACAACGCTCACCATGAATTTCACTTGAAGTTTTTGGACGCGTGTATTTCAATTCTTTATAATATACTCATCACTTTGACTTATTTCCGTTTTTTCGGCTACTGCAATCGATACCTAATGAACGTAACCAATATTTACACACATTTCCTCACTCCTTAACACACTTTAACAAACAATTGCCAACAGTCCAAAGTTCAGTATAAAATAAAAACACATTTGCTTTTCAATTTGACAACGACCGTGTCTCCTTTTCTTCAGAATTGGTTTTCGAATGAATATTTTCTAGGTATTTTTCCAGACATTGTTTTTTGTTTACAAAAAATTGTAAAAAACAACTGCTCGATAAAACAAAGATGGAAAATAAAAAAAAAATACGTTTATTAAATTAGATCTTGAGATAGCAACCAAAAGTTACCCACACTTTCCAATGAATTTTTAGTGTATTTTTCTAGATATTTTTATTTTGTTTATTCAAGTAAAAAACAACTAAAAACAACTGTTCAATAATACGAGGGTGACACAAATTAAAAGAAACACGTGTAGTTTTTATTTATTAAAAAAATATCCACAGTGGTTTAGAAATATGCGAGAAATGTTGCAAAATTCGCTATATATGTGGAGTCAGAATTGAAAGAGGATAGTATATTTCGAGGTTGGGTCTCAACAATTATTCGAATATTAAAGATATCAATATTTATCAGACTACTCCAAAATGATCCGTAACTTTTTTGTATTTTCTCTCTTCGTTTTGGCGTTTTCGACTTTGTAAGTTTTTTCATTGAAATAATTTTATGATATTTCTTGACACTAAACAATTTCAAACAAACTATATTCTACAGGTCACTTGCTGCTAGAGGTTCTACAAAGTAAGTTCATTTGAATTAGAAAAAAAACATGCCCTTAGACTTAAATCTGTGAAAAAATACTCATGACATTGAAATCGATTGAGACTTTTTCTGAATTCAATGTGATGCAAACAGCAAAAAATCGATTCAAATACAGAATTGAATAGAACGAGTTTGAATGATGGTCATAAATGTTAAATCGTACACGAATGTTCATTAATACCGGTGGGCGCTGGTATCGAAGATTTTTTGTTGAAGATTCAACGAATACGACACTTATTAAAAGACATAAAGATTTTTGTTACTAAAGAACACACTGACTCGGATTTTGTGTGTCCGTTTGTATTGCGAATTCTGCACTCAGTTGCCAACCGTAGCTGCTTGTGCAAAATTTACAACACACACGCATACACAGGTTCTCAGTACTAATACGTTTACAATACAGCTATATAGTTCGCCAGAGCTGTGTCAACACAGCAGTCGTAACGAAAATCTTTATTGTCTTTAATAGGGTGCGTATTGTTGAATTTTCAACAAATATTTCCATACAAAAAGTGCTTCACCAGCGCCCACCGATAGATACTGAATGCATCGTTTACTTAAGATTATCATCACTCAGATAATTTCGCAAATAATTTGTTAGTCGCTGGCAAACTGAGCCTAAATAACCGAAAATATATTAATTGCAGTCAAGGAAGGAACATCATTGCTCAAATAACTGCAGCAATGCGAACAGGACAAATAAGTTCTGCGGTTTTAAATCGTATTATAAATGGACAACAAGGAAATTTAGTATCTCGTCTACAGCAAGCACTGCGAAATGGAGAAATAAGTCAACTAGCCTTCAATATGATTATGAATCCACCACCACAGCTAGAAGAAGGAGGCGATCAAAATTATTAATTTCAAATATACCGCCGAAAATGATAATTTTACATCAATAAAGTTGCGATATTCTTGCATTTTGATTTAAAAAAAAACATGTATTTTTCAATCCAATTAACAGGCGGGCTGAAAAGTTCGTATCGTTTCTATGAGAGGGCGCCACTAGAATTAAATCGATACCATTTTTAGTTAGTACCATCCTCCAAACGATATCTGTCAAAATTTGACAGCAATCGGACAATAAGTTCGTGAGTTATTGCATTGAGAGTGAAGCTACTTTTGTTATTGTGAAAAAAATGGAAAAAGACGAATTTCGTGTGTTAATAAAACACTGTTTTTTGATAGGGAAAAATGCTGCCGAAGCTAAAAATTGGCTTGATAAATATTATCTGGACTCTGCACCAGCCGAAGCAACCGTTCGTAAGTGGTTTGCCAAATTCCGTACAGGCCATATGAGCACTGAAGACGATGCTCGCAGTGGACGCCCAAAAGACGCTGTTACTGACGAAAATATCAAAAAAATCCACAAAATAATTTTGAATGACCGTAAAATGAAGTTGATCGAGATAGCTGAGGCTCTGAAGATTTCAAAGGAACATGTTGGACATATCGTGCATGAATATTTGGGTATGCGAAAGCTCTGTGCAAAGTGGGTGCCGCGCGAGCTCACAATCGACCAAAAACAACAACGTGTCGATGATTCGGAGCAATGTTTGGAGCTGTTCAACAGCAATAAAAGTGAATTTTTCCGTCGATATGTGACAATGGACGAAACATGGCTCCATCACTTCGCTCCAGAGTCCAATCGACAGTCAGCGGAGTGGACTGCACGCGACGAACCCAATCCAAAGCGTGGAAAAACGCAACAGTCGGCTGGCAAGGTTATGGCATCTGTATTTTGGGATGTAAATGGAATAATTTTTATCGACTATCTGGAAAAGGGAAAAACCATCAATAGCGACTATTATATAGCGTTATTGTTGCGTTTGAAGGATGAAATCGCAAAAAAACGGCCGCATATGTTGAGAAAAAAAATCTTGTTTCATCAAGACAATGCACCCCGTCACAAATCGATCAAAACGATGGCAAAATTGTACGAATTGGGTTTCGAATTGCTTCCTCATCCACCATATTCTCCAGATCTGGCCCCCAGCGACTATTTCCTGTTCGCAGATCTCAAAAGAATGCTCGCCGGAAAGAAATTTAGCACCAATGAACAAGTAATAGCCGAAACAGAGGCCTATTTTGAGGATAAAGAGAAATCGTACTATAAAAATGGTATCGAAAAATTGGAAGATCGCTATAATCGCTGTATCGCCCTCGAAGGCAACTATGTTGAATAATAAAATTGAATTTTGCCAAAAAAATGTGTTTCACTATAAAACGATACGAACTTTTCAGCCCGCCTGTTATCACAACTCGGGCACGTTTGCGTGTGCATACATAGTTTATTATTCAAATTGATAATTATCGAATATTAATATTATGATTTTACATACTTATTAACTTTTAATATTTTGCTACTCCGGCTCCTCTGCGCGCTCCTCCTCGCACATATTGTTCTGAGAAATATTCTTTTTCGCTCTTTTTACTCTGAATTCTGTACTAAAAAACGTCAAGAAGAATATCATAAAAATGGCTATGTTAAACTGTGAGACTCTTTTCTCGTCGTTGGAATCTTGCGGCTAAGATCATGAAAACAATAATATCAATTAACATTAGCACGGAAAATAATAGAAATTCATAAGTAAGTGAATTAAAATAGTTAATACTGGCAATAAGTGCAACAATAGCACTTCCGAAGGCACTAGTTAACCACAAAAGGGCTTGTACCAGTGATTTAATGCTGTCTGGTGATTTCTCATAAGCAAACAATAGTGCAGGAATGGTAAATAAGATTTCGCCCAAAGAAATAAATACATATTGTGGTATTTGCCATAAAATGTGTACTTCGTCTGGTTTTACCTCAACTTGCCATTGAACCATAGCTGATGCAGCAAATGAAATTACACCGAAAAAACCACCAATTGCAAGCTTTTGCAATTGGCTTCGAATGCCAAATTTATTTAAAATTGGATAAATCCAAAAGTCCATCGTCGGAATGAAAGCCAAATCCAAAAAGGGGTTCAGCATTTGCATTTGATCTGGTAAAATTTTGTACCATCCAATGTTGCCATTCATTTTGGTAGCTTGCTCTACCCAACGCGAGCCGATTTGATCGAATAAAGACCAAAATAGTGGCATTGGAACGAAAATCAGTACAATTTCCAGCAACATTTTTGTATCATCAACCAATTGTTGTCCGTACTTTTCAATTGAATAATCAAGAAAATGTTCACGTGAATCGCCGCCCCACAAACGAATTTTCACCAAAATAGCATTCTAAAAAGAAGAATGGCCAATGACAATTGATTAAAAAAAAAATATTTTTTAAATTCACATACCGTTATACATTTCATTATTTGAAACAGAATATTTCCCGATGGTGGTTTCATTGTGTACCAATGCTTGCCGATTATTAAAAAAACTGCAGTTCAAAGAAATTCATGAGAAATTCATAAAATTAAAATTATATGTAGAAATTACCAATCGAAATGATCATTAGAAATGCGGGAACTGCAAAAGCCAATGAATAACAATCATTTTCACCGAAACAATGGACATTTTCTCGTAAAAATGGCGTAAGAAATGATGATATGAGAACACTTAGATTTATTGCAAAATAAAACCACGAAAAAAATGTATCCAGTTCTGCAGACTGTTCAGGCAGTTTGAATTGATCGCCGGCAAAAACCGAAACACATGGCTTTATTCCACCACTGCCAATAGCAATAAACGCTAAACCAACATACAAAGCTCCTGTAGCTGAAATATTAATCGATGGAATTGCCACGATTGAAATTAATAAACTGCCCACAGCATATACAATTGATAAACTTAAAATTGTACGATATCTTCCCAACCAAACGTCAGACAATATGCCACCGAAGATTGACGTGAAATACACAAACATACTAAAAGCATGAAACTGTACGGTTGCCGTATTTGGATCCAATTTCAATTTATCAGTCATGTAGAGATACAGAATGGCTGGAAAGAGAATCGAAATATTCGAGTCCGATTTTCGGGTTGAGCCAATTTTGAAAAAAAAAAACAAATAACAAATAATGCTCACTCCTTATTCCGTAGAAATTAAATCGCTCGCAAACTTCATTGCTAATTATAAAAAATATACACTTTGGATATGCAAGTTTTGTTTGTGTTTGAATGCCACCATCTTCAATATTTTTTTTTAATTCTGAAATATTAAATTCTTCGATCAAATTCACACTTAACTTTATTATTTTTCTATATAAAATTCGTACCCATTGTTCGATATTTGAATATCCCAATTTCATTTATTATATAATTCTTCTACTTCGAATATGTAACACTTGATAATGAGAGTGAAGACATTCTTAAAAAAACTGAACATTTCACACAAATTGGAATATCGATGTACACAAATTTTCATTGTTGCTCTCGTTCAAGTATTACATAGTGAATATCAAATTGTCGCTATCGTAATAATACATTTATAATTTTTTTATCTTTGATTTCAGTTTAATATCAAGCTATTTAGATGATCACCTTGAGTTCAAACAGGAAAAAAATCATTAAAATCAGAATAATTCAAATAAGTCTCACTTTTCAACTTTTCCATAAGATAAGATTGGATCCTAATAAATGTGCGGGAATGTGTTAGTGTTTTCTGATGAATATAACATGTATTTAACGTTTGTTGGTTCAAATTCTTGTGATGTGCAATAAAACCACTAAATAAAACCATTGAATATTGTCAACAATAATATCCAAATATTTTACTTAACAAACAACATTAAAATATTGTTTTACTTGACTATCTAATATTATCTAAACAAGTCATAAAATACAACAAGCATCGCCTATCATTTGGTGTGGATAAACAATGAAACCAAGCCATACAATGTCATATTTTTGCATAAAACACATGATAATATTTGCAAAATCATTGCTAATTTTAGATTGAAATTATAATAATATATATAAAATGTTTGATGTTAACAATTTCATTTTACAGCAACTCGTAAATAGTGTGCAAAATGTGACAATTGCATCATTTTTAATGACAACGACCGAGATGCATTTGAATGCAGTTTGAAAGTTTCGAGTAAAATATAAAATGGTGAATTGCAGTGCAGATTAGAAATTTATAAACTCGTAATGTATACGAGAAAATAGAATAAATTCACGCTTTGATTCGATATAAAACAATGATTTCGATTGTGTACAACAGTTTCTAAAATGTGAAAGATAAAAAAAACTCCAGTTCAATTTGCAATTCATTTCACGTACAATATCAATATTTAAATAATGTGTGCTATCATAATACCATTGAGTTGCGCATTCAGACCACTCAAAAGTATTAGCGCTTAACACTATTTCGTGCTGCAATAAAATGGAAAAATTACACATCATTTGGTTGGTTCTCATAATTTACTCTAATTATCACATGAATATCATGATGTTGTAATAAAATAATGCAACTTAAATTTGGTTTGTTGTATACATTGTTTAGTGGAATGAAAATCAATTTTGGTGCAAACAATTTTATCGGTAATGACATTCATGAAAACCAGAATACAAAGAAATAACATGCAATTGATGATATTTGAACATTACACAAATACAATTGAACGCTAGAGAATAATAATGAAACTTAATTTTTATTCAAACTGAAGTGTCCCTTCGAAATATTTCCAATAAAAGTGTCCCAAGTTTATATGGCAAACTATATACAAACTTGGGACACTTTTATTGGAAATATTTCGAAGGGACACTTCAGTTTGAACAAAAATTAAGTTTCATTATTATTCTCAACCATTCAATTATGTCGCATAAATTACATGCAATAATTACTTTCAGTTCGAATAGATGGATTCGGATGGATTGGACCGCAAGACGCAAAAAAATTATTATTACGAAACGTTTCAGTTGTGATGCTGAAGATGAGACGCATGGATGTCTCGAAATGCATTCAAGTAAGAGAATTTAGTTTTTTAAATCGATTTTTCGACTCATTGTGAAATCAAGTTAAAGCGTAACATTTTGTAAAAAACATTAACACTGAATGCATCGTTTACTTAAGATTTTCATCACTCAGAAAATTTCGCAAATAATAATTTGTTACTCGCTGGAAAACTGAGCCTAAATAACCGAAAATATATTAATTGCCGTCAAGGAAGGAACATTATTGTTCAAATAACTGCAGCAATGCGAACAGGACAAATAAGTTCTGCGGTTTTAAATCGTGTTATAAATGGACAACAAGGAAATTTAGTATCTCGTCTACAGCAAGCACTGCGAAATGGAGAAATAAGTCAACTAGCCTTCAATATGATTATGAATCCACCACCACAGCTAGAAGAAGGAGGCGATCAAAATTATTAATTTCAAATATACCGCCGAAAATGATAATTTTACATCAATAAAGTTGCGATATTCTTGCGTTTTGATAAAAAGTGTATTTATCCATTTGTCTCAAATCGCATTTTGCAGAATCTACACACAGAGAAGTAATACAATGAAAACTGATGGCTTGTCGTATACAATTTAGAACTAGTTGACACTCCGTATAAAATTGTATTTGTCCATCTAATTTCATACCAAACACCATTTTTGTGTATTCTCTTTTGTGCGGTTCTTCTTCGTTTATGCTTTGAAGAAGATCCGCATAAAAGAGAATACACAAAAACGATATTTTGTATGAAATTGGAAAAATACAATTTTATACGGAGTGTCAACTAGTTCCGAATTTTATACGACAAGCCATCTAGCTTTCATTGTATAGTTTCTTTGTGTGTAAATAGCATTTTAGGTCTATCTTATCTCTAAAACCATGGTTGCTTCAGCATACATTGAACATGAACGAACCATGTCAATCCTTATTTTAAAGTAACCCTATCAACCAATTACTTATTCAAATCATTACCTTTTTATATTTTTGATGATACCACATTTGTGGACCTTCAATTCTATTTTTTTTTTTTTTTTTTGAAAAGTTTCAGTAGTTTATTCTTGACACCTCTGACAATGTTTTTAATTTAATCTTTAAAAAAAAGTTCTAATGAAGCGATTAGAATATTCTGTCATCATACAAAATCCGTTTTAACTAGTACAAATGTTGACACAACAAATTGAATTCAATTTCATTTCATAGTTCATAAAAATGTATTGTGTGAAAAATATCGATTTGCTCTACATTTCAGTGTTAGGAATTGTGAATTTCTCTATTTGAATCCACAGTAGAAAGATGAATGTGTCAATTTAGAGTTTGAATTTTCAGTTGTATGTGAAAAAAATTTCCATTTTAGTTTTTTTTTAGATCGAAAATTCAGCGTGTATCGGAAATGGATGCAATGTCAAGCCTTCGCGGAAAAATGAATGTCCCAGCCCAAATCGGTTGAGTGATGACAATAAATGACCCAAATTCAGAATTTTCGATATACATTTTATGACAAAATAAATCTATCGAAGCGAATGATTGCATACAATCCAAAATTCATCATCTTACAGCGATGGAATCGGAGCACAATGTAAACCCAGGAAGAAGAATAGCATTTGTGAGAAGAATACGAGGAAATATACATAGATAAACTACAAGGACAAGCCTAACGAACTCGATTTCATTGTATAATCAGCTTTCAACATATTTTTTTTTCTTTCTCGATTGCTCTTGCTGTTCATTCACTTGGACACCAATAATTCAAGCATTCGTATTCATATTTTTATGTCGAATTTTCAATCGGCATTTTATGTAACGTTCATTTTACCTTTTTTTCCTTCATTGCTCTTACCATTGAAATCCGCTTAGACTCGTTTTAAAGGGTTCCAATACATTTTTTTCCCACAATCGAAAAGATTAGAATTACACATGTAATAGAGACTGTGTGGAGAAGAGGGAAAGGAGATGAGAAGCTTATTGACGAAACGAGAGTCGAATGTTAAAACTCTTTAATTTCAAGGATGACTTGATGGGCTCGATTTTTACATATATGATTCGGACAGGCGATATAATATTGTGATGGTAGGGAATAATCGAGAGAAATGACGAAGAACGATCAAATGCCGGCTTCTTCACTAAATGCCTCAAGTTGCCAAGAGCAATCAATTTAAGTATGTACCAGTAGCGGCATAAATACAAACAAAAATGTTTACTCTATTTCAAAGGCGAAATACGAACTATGGTATTCGCAAGCATATGCATCCACTAGGGTGGTGCAAATCTCAAAAATATTAAATATTTTCATATATGTATATACCTACCTAAAAACTGACTCAGTATGGGAACATTTAAAGAGTTTGCATGTGTCTGAATACGTTACAAATGACGTGTTTTTGCTCATTTTGTAGATGTTCATTACTGATGTTGAGCTTTCGTGCTGCACTTTATGATTTTTTTATGCTTACCGAAATACCGAGCTGTACATTTTAAATCTATTTTTTCGCCAAAATGTTGGCATTCAAGCCGAAGAGCCTTTGTCATTTGGATCACTAGTATACTCAATTACTCACCCTAATATATTCACATGGCCGGATATACCAATCACGTCGCAAATATGTTTTTTGTATGTTAAAGTACCATTTATCAATATCGACACCATATATTGTGTTTACTTATATCAACAAACTTTATACGTAGTAGTTAAATGGAACGAACAAAATGGTCTAATTGGTGAAAATCTTTTCAAAAATATGTTTACAAGTTATATGAAATAGATGCTTCACATTATTTAAGATCGTTTAAAACTAAGCGATGGATGAAAATTTGAGAAGATGCTGTGAGAAGAACAACTGGTTTGCATCATCAGCCTTTAACATTGCAAAGATTTATTTTTTATTGGTTTTGCATCCTTTTCAAATTGATGTGCATTTTCGATCAATGAAAGCATGAACATTTCAGGTTTCGTTGAAAGGATGTTAAAGTATACATTTTTGGATCAAAACTGAAAGAGAAGTGTTTCGAAATGAAAACCAAGAGTAATTTACACTTTAATCATTATTGCATAATATTTATTTGTTTATTCAATTTTGTGGTTGTTCAGTTGATTTTTACATTAGAAAGTTTTTCCTTTTTATTGTTTTTACCGATTCAAAGTGAATATATATATATAACTGTAGATGTCGATGAAAGAATTTTTGTTTGTTTGTAAATGTAAGGTTTTTTGTATTTTTTTTTTTGCTTTTAAATTGTCATTTCTGTGTTTTTTTTTCGTATTGTTCATTAATAATTTTTAACTAATTCATCTTAATTCTAAATTGTTTGTCTTAAAGTGATTTGCCATATTTTTTTTTCTCCATCAATAACAAAGACCGAAACAAAAAACAATTCGGGAAATTGGAAAAAATTGAAATAAGAGCATAAACACACAAAAATGAATTGTGTCTGTCTGTCTATGTGTATGAGATTTGAAGGGAAGTGATTATTTAGTTTAAATTATTTTATGAATGAATAATATTTGTTTCCGCGCACTTCGTTTTGTTTTTGTCTCTTACTCTTTTTCATCTGATTTAATCAACCCCATCGAAAGTTATTCGGCCGCATAGACATTTCAACATTTTCAATGTTTGCAAAAATAATTTAATTATGTTTTGTTTTTTCACTTCATTTCTTTCTATTTCCGTACTTAGTCTTCTTCTCAGAAAGACGTTGCAATTAAATGTCTTTCTTTCGTCCTTTCTTTTTTCATGCGATATTTACAGTTTCAAACCTCGGTTGACTCCCTCATTTTCATTTTTTTTTCAATCGTTCTTCGTCTGCGCCCACAATCTAGCTTTGTTACAGTACATCTAATATTCAAAGAGAAAATGAAATTCATCGGTGTGGTGAATATTATTTTGTTGTCTGTTTTTTGAGTAAAATTCCCTTATATTTATGAAATCTCAAATCTAAATGCTAGAATTGTGAATAACAATTTGTTTTTCATGTTGTAATTTGTTTCTTCTCCATCCCGACTTCTTCGATTAAATAGTGATTCCGTTGTAACTTTCTAGTCTTACGAGTTAATTTTTTTTATTCATTTTTTTTGTATGTGTTTTTCGAGCCAAACTTTTTGCTTGGTCATCGCGTTAAATTGTAAGTGTTGTTTTTAGTTTTCTTTTTTATTTTTTCATTTTCGTAAGTAATTTTCATTCTTTCAGTTTTAATGTACAATGCATTTTTGATGATTGATTATTGTGTGTTAGATTGTTTTTTTTTTATTTTCTTTTACTTTAACGTCTAATATTTTACAATTACGTCTGGTATAGATAAGTCTTATGCTATAGCTTTTCAAAGTTGTTGTTTTCTTCTAGTTATTTTTCGAACTTAAACTGACAGACAGAGATGAGATGTGGTTTTTTTTCTTCAATAGAGAAAATCTGTTGCTGTGAATTGAGTGATTTTCTTCTTCATTTGTCTTCGTTTCAATCTTGAGCTTTTTGCTCAAACACTTGTAAAACCTGCAACGTTAGGCAAACATTTTCACTGTCCTATATATCACACATCTGGTCCTATTTACGAAGCAAATTTTTCGTTTTTCTTTTTTTTTTTCACTTAATTCAGATGAAGAAAAAATAAAACGAAATGTTTGATCAGAAAAAAAGTCAAATCATGACCGAAGCAATTTAGGGAAAAAACATCGGTTTTTAAAGAAAAAACAAATTTTTTCGTTTGTTGGTCCACATTTTGAGCTAACCAATGTTATAGTAGTAAAAAAAAACCTTCAAGTTTTAAATGGTTAGAAATGTCATGGTTTTTGCGTTTCGAAATGTCATGTTTAAAATGTGGTAAAGATTGTGTTGATCAAAACTATTTGATCAAGATCCCTGTGTTAATTTTTAATTCAAAATAAAGTTCTTTCGTCCATTTTGTCTCCTATCGATTTCAATCTCGTTTTCAACTCTTTAACCTTTTCCGAATTCAAACCACTGTTAATTGTAAACTGCGTTAAATAACATATAAGTCCATGTTCCAAAAAGCTATGAAATACATTTTCTTTCTTTATTTTATGAAAAATAAAATCCAATGTCGCACGAAAACCAATTCAATTGCAATTGAATGTATACGTCAAAGGAAAGAAAGTGGATGATTGGAACATGTGTTGTATAATAATCTATTTTCTTCTTTATAATAACGATTAATATTGCTTATTTCATGACAAAAAAGTGATTTGCTGTCGATTCTTCTTGTCGGGAATTTTTTCATGTTGAATATATGAGCTCCGATACAATTGCCTTTAATAAAGACTCATTATTGTAAACATTATGAGTGGTTTATGCCACTCTCCTCTGTCAAGATGCATCACGTCGTATACTCATTCAACATATTGAGCTGCGAATTGATGGCCGAGTATCTTTGCATAATTTCGACTATGTTTTGTGAAAACGAATCCATTCAAAAGTTGTTCGTTTCGTCAGGAATTTTGCGCAATGTGATTTTTTTCCACTACTAATAAAAGTCTTTGAAAGTGCTTACAATATGGCTGAATCAATACACATTTTACGAGGGGCCATTGGCTCTGTCACTAGTTTTGATTTCTATTCAATTGTATGCGTTTAATTTTCATTTTTATGTTTCTTATTTAAATATTTTTTTTTTAATTCATTTTCATTTCTCTTGCTGTTGTATACCATTAAATATATATTTATTCATATAAGTAAATATCATTCTCAATTGTCTAAAGATGTTTTCCATTTTTTTTAATCGAATTATTCAATAATTCACATTTTATATTATTTTACATAAATTATATTATATTTTTTTTGTGTAGTTTGATTATTGTTTAAGAATCAAAATGTAAATATATATAGATTTTTATTTGTTAAATGTATATAAGAAAATGCAATGAATTTGAAAAAAAAAACAAACAAAAAGAATTGTTTTCATTTTTTTCATCATTTTTTTTCGTTAAACTATAAAAAAAGGATCAAAAATAGTGAAAATAAGAAAAAAAATCGTCATCGTCGGGTCTTTAATATTTTTGTATTTTGTTTTTTTGTTTTTTTTTTTTTATTTGAAAATGTTAACTTATGTGAGTCATACGTAAACGACATGTGGTTTTTGTGATCGTCTCGTATCAAATCGAAAATCATCAAATTTCTCATAATGATCTGGTTCTTCGATTTGTTCTTTCATCGTTAGCTCCCATTGTCGCAGCGCCCGATATTCATTTTCAACAGCTTGAGCGGCTAAATATCGTTCCAATTCCAATTTGTCAACTTGTTGCGGTACAATGCGTTCGTTGACATTTTTCCGTTCGGACATGGCGTTTCGTCGATTTTTCATGCGTCGCATATAAAACAATACACTCGCTCCCGTTACAATGATAAGCAATACACTGAGCACTGCGCTCACAATCGTTACAATATGAGCTGGACATTTTATATCGCTGGCCGACATTGTTTTCATGAGATTTCGTGTATGTCGTTGTGAATCTTCCCATAAATCGCATGCAATTTCATCGACATCCAAAATGAGCACATTGTTTGGTGTTGCATTGTGAAGATTATGATAGTTATGTGCATTTGTTGTTGCTGCATTTGATGATGACACAAGATTTGTATCATCATTATTGTTATCAATCTGATTGGCGGATACAGCCGCAACGCTTACGCCTGAACTATTTTCGCTGCCATCGCTATTCTCGTTGATTTGACCATTTGTTAAACGCCAGAGCCATAACAACGAACAATTGCACACCAATGGATTTTTGGCCAAACGAAGCCGATGCAAACGATCCAATGGAAAATGAGCCGCATCCAAAGTATGCAAATCGTTACCACGTATCGAAATCTCAATCAAATTCGGATTACCATGAAATAATTTTAATGGAAGATCGGCAAACGATGGATTCTCGTCAAGCGTTATTATTTGCAGAAATGTGTTATCGACGAATGCTCTGTAATTGAGAAAAAAAAAGGAAAATACATTTTAGCTTTGATTGAAAATTGTATACAAAAATAACAGTTTCAATAAAAAAATACACTCAATTTACAAAGATTGATTAAATTGATGTTTGTGATTATATACATTTTATATCATGTTTAGACAGTACAACTTGCGACATAGTGGATGAATAAAAGGAAGGTGAGTGCATATGTACTTTTTCGACAAAGAATCTTTGCCAAACTATTTGCATATACAGACAATGGCAGTGCTCTAGCGCGAGATAATCATCGATATTGTCAGCATATGCAAAGAAACATCTAGTGGCACGGATTTGCTTCAAGAAAACATACAATGACAGATTAATTTGATTTAATATTGCCAAGGAAATGTTTTTTTTCTCGAAAACTCCAGTATTGTGTGCGTGAGTATGTGTTTATTGTATCGATATATAGATGATAACGGTTTGTTTGCCCATTTTCATTGCCTAATTTCATAAGTCATGCTTGCATATGTATAATGTATGCTTCGCAGTATTTCGCATGATTTAGTTTATGTCGATAAGAGATACTGTCAGACACCAGGGCATAATGTACAATGCAAAATGCAAACACCGTAAATCCGATATCGAATAGTGATGAAAAAACAAAAGCCATGTAGAAGAAGCAAAACGGATCGAAAGAGCAAAAGCTCACTCGTTCGCTCATTCATCCGAAACGATGTATGTTTATATATAGTTTAAACATCACTTTTGAAAGTTTTAAATGCAATCGCACATCTCTCACAAATCCATTTCGTTGAATAATATTTCAGCAAGCAATTTTCACTTCATGAATGTTTAATCGAATATTTGCTGTCGATGTGTGTGTGAGTTTGTGTGATTTTCTATTTGCAATGCATTGTTTGGATTAATGAGGCAAAGTTGGAAGAAATCAAGAATCACCTAAATGGATTCGTTCAAGAAACTCTTCAGAAAGTCTGTGTGAGTGTGTGTGTTTTTGTTCTTGTTGATTCGTTCTTCTTTCGAATTTCTTTAACTTTTCCCAAGAAGAGTCCTTCCAAATTCCATTGTTGCAAACATCATCAAAAAGCCAGACTGCGCATTGCTATTGATTTATTATTTGTGTTTTTTTCCCCCGATTTGTAGTAGTTTATAAGGAATGATTGTTTTCTGCTCATATATTGTATCGACATCATAAACATGTCGTCGTTCTTTGTTCAAACACACAAATATACGCACACACACACACACACACGGAGAGCATACAAATTCAATAGAAAATTTAAAGTAAATATTATGCGAATCTATTTAAAATAATGTTGATTGTTTGTTCAGAGATAGAGACAGAATGAGAGCCGAGCAAAAGTGAGAGAGGTAGATGAAGAGGCAGACCAGTCTCGACGGGATTTCATGTTTTCTGCATTTAAGGCGGGGGCAAAGTGTATGATTTGCGTACATTCGGGCGTTAATATATTTATTATGCCGATACAAGATTTCCATATCGACTCCAGTCGAGACATATCAACTGTTTGTATATATGCGTATGTTTTGCAGAAATTCAAATCAAAATACCGAATCACATTGTCACAACAGCGTTTCGAGACAATAAATGGCATTTTCACTGTATGCAATGAAATTCAAAATTGAAACGAATAAATAATCGAAGACGATACACATGATTCGTCGGCCAAATATTAAATGGTCAATTTTACGCCATTCATTTCGATTTTGAAAAATAGAGGATACACAAGTTGGAGAAAGAAAAAGTAGACGGAGAGATACTTTGATTGTATATAAAATTACAAAGATTCAATAGAAATTGAATCGAAACCATCGCCGAAATTTGTTCAAAATGAATGTTCCTAGGGGATATCCATGCGAATTAGAATTAGCACATTAGCAAAAAATAGGGAAATTTACATGAAGAAAATAGCAAAATTAGCAATAAATAGCAGAATTAGCACTGTACACGTATATACTTTAGTAAGCATTTATTCTTGAATATATTGAAATAATTAATTAAAATAAAATTCACAAAACAAACGAATTGAATAGTATTGAACTAAAATGTATCAAAATATGTAGTTTAATATGCTTTTTCTCATTTTTAAATAAAAATATATTCAATGGCACGTAACCAAGCACGTTTCATCTGTATTAACTACAATTTACGAATTGCAATCGGAAATGTAGATTTGATGACAGATTTCTTACTGAAAACGTATACGCTAGTGCCTGCTTCAAATATACACGTTGAAAGTGTCAACTTGAAACATTTGCGTAAACACATTTCAGTTATTCGATCATGCTGTCAATCTGACGTATGCAATATTTTTGACGTACTAGAGAAATTAGCAAAAAATAGCAGTATTAGAACAAACTAGTAGAAATACTAGCAGAATTAGTGAAAAATAGAGAGACATAGCGTTTATTATTATAAATTATTCGATCTGCAATTCACGGTTATCCCCTAGGAATGTTCCAAAATTGGCATGCAATGTGGCGAAAAATAGATTAAATGCTGTACCCTCCACCGCTTTGTCTATTTCTTCGTCTCTTATTTTGTCATTAAGTGGACAAAATGCGCACCGGAATTTCTCATTTCATTCGATGAACACAATAACAATTCGAAACATTTACACCGTTTTATGTGTGCATTTGAAATCGAAAAGAACAAAAGCGTTTGATTAATTTTATGCTTCAGTTAGATTGAATTTAGTGACCGATTCCCAAAAGGATTCAAATGTTATAATAATCACATAATATTAAAGTTGATTCAATTGTTCAATCGTATATTTTTCGATTTGACCAAAACGGAATGCGCATTTTAGTAGTCAACCAATATCATCATTATCCGCGTCGCGTTGTAAGCATCGGAGTTTGAGTGAAATTTTCAATTTGTTATTTTGTTTAAACAAAGAAACAATGCTAATGCCACTAATAAAACTTCAAATGTACAATTGTTTTGAACTTCGACCGGGAAAATTAGATTTGCACATTTTCGATTTCACTTCAAAAAAAAAAAAAAAAAAAAAAAAACATTTTTCAATTTCGGATTACAGACACACAATCCATCAAATTCATTCATTTATTTGGTAGAATCGTTGGTGACCATTGCCACAATAGCTGGATTATAAAAATGATACATTAATGCTCAAGCCTCTGTCAGATGATATTTGTATTTAGTCGAAAGTTGAAACGACCACCATTTTTTCTCTGCTCCCGACAAGTTAAATGTCCATTTCATATGGAATGCGTATACACGATACACAATTTTCAATTTAATGATGTATCCATAAGCGTCATTTCTTTTGTTCCGTCTCTGCCTCTCTCTGTGCAATTTTGAATTTGCATTGGGCATTTTGCTTGATTGCGAATTGGACAATCAAAAACATTTCCGCGCCCTCAAGCAATTTTTCTATGCTGCAACTTTTTTTTTGGGGAGGATTGCAGAAAATGAAGTGTGAGCATGGAAATAGAGAGAAAAGTGAGAAGCACAAGTTCAAACCGTTGATATTAGTGAATGAGGTGTTTCAAAGCTTCTTCTCGACCACATTTAATCGATTTTAGCTCATGCAAATGGTTTGTTGCTATGACGAACTCTTTGAATGCGTACCTCTCATTCCCCATCTCTCTCTCTCACTCTCTCTCCCGCCCGCTCGCTCGACGTGAATGTACAAAGTCGACAGTCATGCCCATTGAAACTGATAATAATATAAAATTTCGTTGGAATGGTAACAAAATAAAATCGCACGAAATTAAATTCAACACATTAAATCGATTTCGGTTGGGCAAATATATTCATAATTGCTATTTCAAAGGACTAGCATTCGTCATCACTCTCACACACACACACAGCAACGGCAGAGAAGCAACGATATGCAAACACCAATGGTAAATGTATAAATGTAAATATGGCGATAGAGCTTGCAATGGTCTATAGAACAAAAATATCTGCTAGAAATGTTGCTAATGACATTCGACAGTGAGTTGGCGAAAAAAAAAATAAATTTCATGAATTTCGGTCGATAAAATATGCAAAATCGGTTGATTATCATCAGTTGCCGCATGCAATCAGACATTTCATCTCATCATTGACCATAAATCATCATCAATTTACTCAGCTTAATTGACATATTTACTAGGGAACATTTCTTAGCTCAAAATTCGAGCAGAGAATTAACATTTATACTTGGTAATTTTTTCGGGCTCATCGATTTTTGTTGTTGTAGTTGTTCTCCCCTTCATCATTCAAAAATCCATTATCAGTTCAAACGAAGAAGAAAAAAGAAATGACATGAGAGTTTGGAGTGCAAAAAGTTATTTAAATCTGAAGAAAGGTGAAGGCAATAGAGACACACTCTTATATTATACATATATATTCGAGCTCTATAATTCCTACCGCGTCAACATCAAGCGAAAAATACATGATTGAGCAGCAAACGAGATAACCACCTTGAAATGAATGACTATGTAAATGCCCAACATTAGCAAATGAATGGACGCCTTTTTTTCATGCTCCGCTTTTTGCAGCACCACATTTTTAAATGGTGTTGATAATGTCATGATTCTCATTGGATTTTACAATTCCATTACGGCGCTTCTCTTTCCTTCTCTCTTTCTCTGTTGAAAAAGAGTACGAAATTTTGTGTGTGTTTGCTTGTGTCAGAATTTCGGAGAATTATAAATAATTACCAATGCGCATTTGTGGTTGAGTCTCACTGCAGAGGCGAAATAACAAATACTGCAATAGAAGATAGACTTGGCATGTGACTCAAACCAGCATTCCATGTACATTCGTATTTGAAAAATATAGACAATAATTAATTGCATACGGTTATATTTTGGGTCAAAAATATGACCTATTTGTGAGAAAACAGAATTGTTTTTCGCTTGTATCGTGTACAAAGTTTTCACTTGCACACCAAAATGATGATGCATCATCACTTTTTTTTCGTTCCACTTTATAATGATCAACGAGACAAAAATTTAAAAGTGAAAAGTGCGAAAAG